GGCGACCAGGACTCGTGCCAAAACACCGTTTCTGGGACTTCCACACAGCGAGCGAATACACGTAACTGTTGCGCCTTCACAATCCAGAGTCATTCCAAACACACGCACTCTGGTACGTTTACCGTTGGCCAATTGCGATCTGTGTTTTTTGGTTGTTGCAAGTGTTTAACACGAGTGTGCGCGGACCTAAGGAGAGAGCCACATTTTGAAAATGAGCCGCCCTCAATCCGTGAAGCTCTTGCGACATTTTAGAAAGAATGTGCGCGGCGCTCAAGCGAGAGCCACATTCTGAAAACACCTGCCCTCAATCCGTGAGGCTCTTGCATTTTTTACAACGGATGTGCGTTGCGCTAAGGCGGGAACCACATTTCGAAAACGACCTATCCCCAATCAGTGAAACTATTGTAATTATCTAAACGAACTCTGGCGGCGGGAACGCGACAGTAATATTTTGCAAACCGCCTGCCCTCAATCCGTGAGGTTCTTGCATTCTTTATAACGAGTGTGCGCGGCGCTGAGGCGAGAGCCACATTAAAAAACAACGACCCGCCGTCAATCCGTAAAGCCCTGGCAAATTGTCGAAACGAATGTTCGCGGCGCTAAGGCGAGAGCCACATTCTTAAAGCGCCCCGCCCTCCATCTGCGAAACAGTTGCCAGTTTCCAAGCTTCAGGGTCATGAGTGGTGAGGGAGTCTCAGGCGAAACGCCCGACCCGCCCTTTCGACCGGCCTCGGGGTGCGACAGGGAGGGGTTATTCATGAGGACGAGGAATGGATGATGATGAGGAGGAATAGGAGGAGGAGGAGGAGCAGGAGCAGGAGGAGGAGGAGGAGGAGGAGGAGGAGGAGGAGGAGGAGGAGAGGAGGAGGACGCAGGAAAAGGAAGGAAGGAGGAGGAGGGAGGAGGAGGAGAAAAGGAGGAGAGGAGGAGAGGAGGAAGGAGGAAAGAGGAGGAGGAGGAGGAGGGGAGGAGAGAGGAGGAGGAGGGAGATGACGGGAGAGGAAGGAGGAGGAGGGAGAGGAGGGAGGAGGAGGAGGAGGAGGAGGATGAAGAGGAGGAGGAGGAGGATGAGGATGGAGCAAGGAGGAGGAGAGGAGCGAGGAGGAGTGGGGGGGAGATCCTCTCCTCCCTGCCCCCCCCTCCCCCCGCCGAGCAGAGGCTGCTCTTGCCCGAGGGGCCCGACGAGCCCCCCACGCTCCTGGCGAGGCTGGAGGCCTACCTGGGCCTGGACGCCGCGCTCGGGGCGGCGCCCGGCCGTCTCCGCCATCGCCCTCCCCAGAACATGCTCAAACCTAGCATCGGACGATGGATTACACCAGTACACGGCAGCACTCAATTCAGGCGATCGCAAACATGGATCAAGAGGGCGTGGATTAGCAACGGGTCCCGTTTCCATGGGAAATCGCCGATTTCTGCGGCCGCGCGAGGCGGCACCAGCCGCATTTTGGGGAAAGCACCTTCCCCGATCCATGCATTTGGCGACCGTGCGCCACATCCATGGATCGCTAATCCATGTTTGCGCGCCCCCGATGAAACATGCTCAATCCTAGCAGCGGGCGGTGGTTTGCACCAGCACAGTGGCAGCACTCCATGGAGTAGTCTTGAACAAGCATCCGTACCCCTCGGTCGTTGAAAGTAGGTATTTTTGGATACCCAGATTCCGATCTACTTTATGCGCCTTCCTACTTCAATTATCGAGTGGCTTCACCTATCCCGTCTTCGTTCAGGGGGCGGACGGAACCCAATATTTCTTGAACGCCTCACCACTTCATGCTTCTGCCTGCTTCTTCCGACCGATGGGCCCGCCTGACGCAGCGCTGACCGCAGCTCCCACATCTGCGGCGGAGTCCAGGGGTCGCCCGCGCCTGCCGTCAGGCGCCGGCGCCCTCCCGGCGGACCCAGGCGCGCCCTGCCTTGCCTCGCCTCGCCCAGAGGGGAAAAAACACAGACACAATGAATCCTCGATTCCCCAGAAATTATGGAAAAAATATGGGAAGTGGGGGGGAAGACAGAAACCCAGAAAATATGGGAAAATATGGAGAATCCTTTTATTTGTGTGTGTTTATTTGTGTGTCCTGGGGCCCCTTCAGTCGTGGCAGACGTCACGACGCGAGGCAGCCGGCCGTCCTCGGCCTCCGGGGCCCCCGCGGGGCCCCGGGAGCGTCGCGCGTCGGCTCGGGGCGGAGAGCGGGCTCCGGGGAGGGGGGCTTCGGGGATCCCGCGTGGAGCAAAGCAGGCCATCGCATGTCTGGGTTTCATTCTGCTGTGGGCGGGCTCCTAGTCTTCAGTCGGGTCTGTCCCTCCTACGGGAGGGATATTCAAGAACAGTCAAAAGATAGCCTGGGGACTATTCTTGAGTGATTTTCTGACCATTTTGGAGTAGCTTTTGACTATTTGTTATTTTTCTTCCAAAATCTCCCTGTAGGAGGACAGGCCCGACTTAATCCTATTCTGAGTAGGCCACCCTCGTTCTCTGTCCTAGGGGGCCCCCCATTCGGCGCGGTGACCGCACCGCCTGGCGAGTTCGCGGGGATTGGTGATCGCCGCACGGTCTTGGCATGTGGGTCGTTCTCCGAGGACGCCTCGGGCAGCTTGGGCCCCTTGAGGTCCAAAGACGGTGAGGTGACGGTCCGTGCGGTGAGGTCGTTGGGGAATTCGGGGTCGCCGCACGGTCAGTCACCACACAGTCTTGGGACCCCAGTCGGTGGGCCGCTCTCTCACCAATAGAGATCGGGGGAGCTTGGGCCAGGGGAGGAGCACCCTGAGCACGGTTGGCCTGGAGGTGTACTGATGGACGTGTGCTTCCAGGCCCGTGTGTACTTCTGAGATTCTCCCAAGCTCCCCCAAGTCTTTCGACCGGCTCTTGCTTCACTTTGCCGGAGCTGTGAATCGACGCCCCCAAGTGTTTCATGTGTTCAGTAGTTGGAGGGATGTTATCATTTGGGTCTCACAGGCGGATGTCGCAGCCTGTTTGTAAGTTTGTATCAGTTGAAACTTCGCCCAAAGAAGCTCCATTACCACTTCTGCTCCTTCCTGGGCAATTGCGTTCAAAAGATTGTGTATTTGACCTTCGTGACGCCCAACCAAATAGTGTCGTCAGCGTACGAAAGAACAGACACAGGCCTGGCAGCAAGTGATCTTGCAGATTTCTCGTCCAGCTTGTCCTGTGCGATTTTGATAGTTGCCCTCATCACCATCACGAACAGAAACGGCGAGAAAGGGCAACCCTGTGCAATTCCCGAACGCTGGCTTATGGTTCGTGAATTGGGTCGCCCATCTGTCGCGCAAGACCGCCTGTTCCGTATATATGACCCATAAGAAAGTCCATGTATGGAGGGCTTCCAAATACTCGCAGTGCGTTGAGAAGAGCGATCACGTTGATCGAGTCAAAAGCTTTCTTCCAGTCAAGGGCGAGCATGTGATATCTCAATATGTCTGCACACAACATGGATGGCAGACTGGTGGGGCGGTAATTTTCGCTCTGGTCGATCGAGCCTTTGTTTTTGTAGATGGCAGTCACATCAGCGTGTCTCCATTCCGTCGGCACTTGTTTTTCCTTCCAGCTCGCGTTAATCAGCGGGCATTTCGTCTGGTCCGAAAGCTTTTCCCCATTCAAGTTTTGATATTGCAGGTCCCAAGTCTTTATATGTAAAATCGGTGTCGGTGATGGGTAGGGAGGCTCCCAATGGAGCTCGTTCCAATGCTGTCGCTGGCTGGACTTTTCATTGTACTTCTTCCAGATACTCGGCCATCGTGCCCGCCTTTTGCTAGCTGCCGACCAATTCGCCTCGTAGAATCCGAACTCTGGACTGTTTGTGCGGCTTCGCCCTGCATACTCTTTGTAAGGATGTCCAATCCCCTCCTTCAATACGTTTGTCCACCCAATCCGTTTTGTCGATTTTGGCTGGTTTTTGTTCAACAATCTCTTCTCCTCCGCCGTATGGTTCCGTAGTCGTGTCTGGCGATTTTGCTCTGTCAAGTCCAATGTTTTCTCTGCAATCCAAGCGGTCGTGTTGTACTTCCCCGGGGCTGCAGCGTGTTTTTTGCGCATTCCATTGCGTGTGTTGCATTATCCTATGTACATACCGTGTGCGTCTTTGGATTCCGGCTTCATGTTCTTCCAAAATACGTCCGTAGAAGTTTTGCGGATTTCTTTGTCATCCAGCGCTGCCGTGTCCAGCTGATGCTGGTTTATCGCGTGTTCGGGGGCTGATCCAATGTAATAGTGCATGTGACTGGGAAATGATCGGTAGCCATTGCTGCTCCACGCCAACTTCAGAGCGACCTGATAGAGTCTAGCGCACCTGGTATGCACAAGAAGACACCGAACATGTTATGTGTAAGCATGTCGATCGGAGCCTGAGCGGTGATCCCGACCTCTCCCAAAATGTTATTTTTCCTCCGGATGTATTGTTGTGCAAACGTTTTGGCAATGGCCAAGCCGTTCTCAAAATCTTTATTTTGGCCTTTTCACTTCGCGCGCGGCTTCCCGCCCCCGGCCATGCAGTCCCAGTACTTCCCCTCCGCCAGGTCGTACTCGGCCCACTCGTGCATTCAAATCGCCTAATGCTAGTTTGCCGTGGTTTGCACGGCAGGCCGGTATTCTGTATCAAGCGAGCTAGAAAAGTTGATGCGTTCTTCTGGCGGTCGTCGATTGTGAGGCGCATACACCCCCAGCAGGCCGAACGTCTGAGCTTGCGCGCGCAGCTTCAAGACACAAGTCCTGTCGGACACCTGTTTGAATGATTTGGCGTATCTTCGCAACCGTGGTTCAATAATACATCAACAGGGTAATAGGAACACCAGTAACACTATCTGTTTGAACACGAACAGTATGCAGACGATGGTCATGGGGATTGTGGTGGTGGTGATGATGACGATGAAAATGATGCGTAAGGAGGAGGAGGAAGGATGAGGAGACGGATGATGACGACGACGATGACGACGACTACGGCGACGACGATGACAATGACGATGTCGATGATGATGATGATGGTGGTGGTGATGATACTGATGATTATTATGATGATGAGGATGAGGATGAGGATGACGATAACAATGACGATACCGATGATGACGCTGATGATGATGATGATGACGATGACGATGACGATACTGATGATGACGATGATGATGATGGTGATGATGATGATGATGATACTGATGACGATAATGATGATGCTGATGATGATGCTGATGGTGTTAGTGGTGGTTTTCATGGTGGTGTTGGTGATGTGGATGATGCTGCTGCTCATGATGATGGTAGTGATGATGGTGGTGATGATGATGATGATGATGCTGATGAGGCTGGTGATGATGATGATGATGATGATGATGATGATGATGATGACGATGACGATGTCGACGACGATGACGGTGACGCTGATGATGATGATGATGATGCTGATGCTGATGATGACGATGATGGTGATGATGATGATGATGATGATGATGATGATGATGATGATGATGCTGATGATGATGATGCTGCTGCTGATGATGATGATGATGATGATGTTGCTGACAACGGCAATGATGATGCTGATTATGATGACGACGATGATGATGTTTGTTAAGATTCTGGTGGTGGGGGTGGTGAGGTGGAGGATGAGGAGGAGGTGGTGGTCAGGAGGACAGCAAGAGCACGACTAGGTGGAGGATTGTGAGGAGGAGGAGGAGAAGGAGGAGGCTGATGATATTGTGAGGAGGTTGGGGCTGAGGTAAGGGTGCTAATGGGAAACACATGGATGGACATGATGAAGAGAATGGGACAGGTGAGGAGGAGGCAGAGGAGGAGGAGGAGGAACAGGACGATGATGAGAAGGAGTTTTCCTGATGCAATGATGGCACGGGTGATGATTATAATGACGATGCCGATTTGGATGATTATGATGACGATGCCGAGGTCCATGATGTCCATGATGATGCTGATGATGATGGGGGTGACGATGCTGATGATGATGTTGATGATGATGATGATGATGAGGATTATGATGATGCTGATGATGATGATGATGATGATGATGATGATAAGAAAGCGGAGGAGGAGGACGAGGAGGAGGAGGAGGAACAGGAGTATGATGCCCCTGGGGCGTCTCGCTCGGCGTCAATGTCAGAGGGCGGCGCGTGACCCGTTGAGCATGGACGCGGGTGGATGCTGGCGGCGGCGACAACGCTGACGAAGATGATGACGATGATGATGACAATGCTGATGATGATGATGACGATGGTGTTGCTGGAAGGGATGGTGATGATGATGTTGATGATGTTGATTGTGACGACGACGATGACGATGACGTTGACGATGATCATGATGATGCTGATGATGATGATGCCGCGGATGCAGACAATGATGCTGATGCTGTTGTTGGTGCTGCTGCTGCTGGTGCTGCTGATGATGATCCGTGATGATGATGCTGATGATGATGATGATGATGATGACGCGGACGATTGTGATTATGCCGATCATGACGATGATTCTGCTGCTGCGATGATAATGATGATGATGATGATGATGATGATGATGATGATGATGATGATGATGATGATGATGATGATGATGATGATGATGATGATGATGATGATGGTGCTGGTGTTGATGCTGATCTGATGCTGAGGATGGGGATGATGATGACGATGATGATGAGGAGGATGATTCTGATGCTGATGACGATGACGATGACGATGATGATGGCGATGATGATGATGATGCTGCTGATGATGATGATGATGATGATGATGATGTTGTTGTTGTTGTTGTTGCCCCCCTGCTTTCCGCCCGTTCTCCCGCTTGTGCCCCTAGGTGGGCGTGGCTCAGGACGTCGTCGAGCCCGTGCGGCAGCCGGGCGAGGCGGGGCGGCGCTGCGTCCCTTGCCCGCCAGGTGAACGATGAAGAGGCAGCTGATGACGATCTTGTAGGTATTGAGGCTCAGAAAGGTGTCCGCCACCCTTGGGTCGGTGGATGTGGCGTGGCCTCAGGGGGAGGGGGTTAAGGGTACATGTATCACAATGCAAAATAATGCAGTGTGTAGAAACTATGTGATAATGGGAACCGTTGCAAAGTTACAATCCGTTGATTACTCGGATACGTGGATAAGTTGCGTAACGGCACCCGCGGACCTGCCTCCGACAACGCGTCACCCCTGGACGTGGATTCCCCTCGCTTCGCGTGGTGCACGTCCGGAGCACGTAAAGACTGGGCGTTGGGTGGTTCGCCCTGCCCGTCTGCCGCGAAGTGCTGCCGTGTCGTTCTGCCCACCTGGTGGCGCTGCCAGTGCCACGGGGGGCGGATGCGCCCCCCCCCGTTTCAGCGTCGGAGGAGCGTGCGAATGTCTACGAGGGCGATTGCCATTCACCGCGTGTCAGCACAAGGCAATGTCAAGTTCAAATTCCGATGAACATAGCAACAACGCGCCATTCGTATGCAATTCCGCGGGCCCTGGGTGGTTTCTTGGGGCCGTTTTGGGGGCCTCCTAGGGGGCCTTTCGGAGGTTTCTTTGAAGGTTTCTTGGGGGCCTCTTGGGCGCCTGCTCGGGACTTCAAGGGGCCTTGTGGGGGCCTTGTTGGCCGTCTTGGGGCGCTCTTGTGCTGTCTGGCACCTTCGGAGGCAGTCTTGGGGGCTTCTCGGGGCCGCCTTTGGCTCTCTTGGGGTCCTCTCGGGCCGTTTTGAGGGCCTCTTGAGCCGTCTTGGGGGCATCTTCGGAACATCTTGAGGCCTTTAGGGCCGTCTTGGGGCCCTCTTGGGGGCCTCTGGGGCCGTCTTGGGGACATTTTGGAGACTGCGTTAGAGAGTCGGAAAAAACGAGAAAGCTAAACTATTACAAAACCCGAATCAATGTGTTTGGCCTTTGGAGCAGCTTTTGGGGGCCCCCTTGCAGCGTCTTGGGGACCTTTTGGGCCCTCTTGGGGCCATCTTGGGCCTTCTTGGGCCCGTCTGGAGGCCATCTTGATTGAGCCGTCTTCAGGCCCTCTTGGACCCCAAGAGGCCCAAGGGGACTAAATTATTTATTTGTCCGTGAGTTTTGTAGGTATTGAGGCCCAGAAGGGTTCGGTGGATGTGGCGTGGCCTCAGGGGGAGGGGGTACGGGGGGGTTTGGGATATACGTTTTGAATGGTACAAGAGCAGATAGGAGCGAACAGTCTTAAAACGGTTGTTGCTGTTGATGATGATGACGATGCTGATGCTGATGCTGCTGCTGGTGATGCTGATGCTGACGAGGATGATGGTGTTGCTGATAATGATGCTGATGATGCTGATTATGATGATGCTGATGCTGATGATGGCGATGCTGATGGTGTTGATGATGATGGTGGTGGTGATGATGATAATGATACTGATGATGATTTATGATGTTGATGACGATGATGCTGATGATGATGATGCTGATGACGATAATGCTGATGATGCTGATTATGACGACGACGGTGGTGGTGGTGGTGGGGGTGGGGGTTGTGATGATGATGATGATGATGGTGATGCTGATACTGATGATGATGATGACGATGATGATGGCTATGATTATGATGATGATGATGATGATGATGATGATGATGATGATGATGATGATGCTGGTAATGCTGATGATGATGATGATGATGATGATGATGATTATGATGATGATGATGATGATGATGATGACGATGATGATGATGATGATGATGATGATGATGATGATGATGATGATGATGATGATGATGATGATGATGATGATGATGATCACGCTGCGTCGCCAAGAGCCAGATCGCAAGCCAGGCAAGACATCCACACCGCCGAATCCCGCAGGGGCCAGCCCCCGCTGGGAACCCTGGCGTCCCGCCCTCTACCCTGGGCGAAACGCGCCAGGTTGCCCGAACCCAGCATCCGAGTACAGTTCACCGTGAGGTGGATCCAAGCCCAGCTTGTATCACCCGACCACCGCCCCCCCCCCCTTCAAAGACGGCCTAACCGACCTTTAGCAGATCGACCCCGTACGCGGCGACGCTTAGCAAACCGACTTCTTATGTAACGACCCCGCTCCGTGACGAACCCTCGTACACCGACCCCGAGCAAACCGACCCCTGGCAAACCGAGCTCCGCTGCAAGACCAGGGCGGGCCGTTGGAGAGAGGAGCCTCGAAGGTGAGGGGCTCGTCATGGAGGGGCTCGGCGTGGCAGGGGCCGATCAGGCCGCGCGCGACCCGCGGCCAGCGGGCCAGCAGCATTGGCAGCGGGCGGCGCAGGCTGGGGGGCAGCCGGCGCGCTGCCTTCTCGGCGGTGGCGCGCAGCAACCGGCGTCGCCGCTGTCCGGGCGATGGCCGAGACGGTGGCGAGCGCTGGCAGGGGGCACGGGCAGGCGGGCGCAGCGAGTGCACCCGTGCTTTCCCGGGCGTGCCGAGCTCATCGCCAGGTCTTCTGCAGCCCGCTCACGCTCGTGTGAGCTCTTGTCTTCTCCTTGGTCGCTGCCCGCCTTCTCAGCTCCCCGCCTCGCCCTCCTCCGAAGACATTTTGCGCACATGCCTGTGGTCTAGCCTACGCAGGAAGAAAGAGCCTGCCTGCACGAGTCCATGCAGCAGCAGAGAGCCCGTAAGAGTATACACGTCGAGTCCACGCAGCAGGAGAGCCCGCCGCCACGAAGGGCGGGGCAGCGCGCGATGCCTCGAGACGCGGCCGCGCGCCCCTCGGCTGTCCTCCGCCTCCTCCTCCTCCTCCTCCGACTCCTCCTCCTCCGCCTCCTCCGAGAAAGTGTGTGGCACACCCGTTTTTTGGCCTCTGCCGTGTCGGGCCCACGCGGCAGGGCCGCGGCCGCGAAGGGCGGGGTCTGGCGTTGAGTCGGGCCCGTCCCCCTACAGGAGAAACATTCCAAAATAGTCGAAGCATAGGCCGGGGACGACCTCTGGACTCTTGTTGCGTATTTTTGGATACTCTCTGGGCATTTTGCATTTTGCGTCCAAGATCCGCCTGTATGGGGGACACGCCCGACCCGAGCGAAGGCGTGCTGCGCACGTGCTTCCGGCCTTCGCCGCTCGCGCCCGCGCGGCGGGCGCCGCCCCGCCGCCGCGGCGGGGCGGGGCAGCGCGCGAGGCCCCGAGGCGCGGCCGCGCCCTTCGGCCGCACCCGCGCCGCCGGGGCGCGGCCGCGCCGTCCGTCGGGGCAGGCCCGCCCGGCCCGCCGGGGGGCGCGGCGGGCGCTGCGCGGAGCAGTGGTCAAGAGACGGGGGGGCGAAGAGCGGCACAGGTCCGAGGCAGGAGCTTCTACATGACCACCGCTTGGAGGGTCCATGTTCGGGGGCCGCGGCAGGCGGTGGATGTGGCCGTGTGCGGGCCCCCGGGGGCCAAACTATGTCCACATCCGCCGCCCGCCGGGGCACCAGGGGGCGTCGGCTCCCAGGCGGTGGATGTGGATAAACCCCCGCCTCGCAATCGACACGAAGACTCGGAGGTCCGCGCGGGTTTCTCGGGTTCGCGCTGGGCCCCCCCCTGGCGGCGCCTCCGGCGGGGCCCAGCGCCGATGCGAGGCATCGGCGCGGGCCTCCGAGCTGTGCTGCGTGTTTCCGTGCTACGCCGGCGCCCGCCCATCTCCGCGGGCGGGCCCGGAGGATGCTCCGCACGGGGTGGCTCGCCCGCTCGCTCCCTCGCTGGAGAGGAGACGGTACCGATACTCGGGGAAGGAATGATGGCGTAAGGCAGGAGGGGAAAAACTCACACAGACACACTGATCCGTCGATTCCCAGGAAAAGATGTGAAAATATGGGAAGTGGGGAGGAGGACAAAAACCCAGAACATCTGGGAAAATATGGGGAATCCGGTTATTTGTGTGTTCTCACTTAATTGTGTGTCCCAGGGCCCTTTTAATAAACTCGGAAACTGGAACGTGTACATCACCAGTGGCGGGCTGTTTTCCAATCCCGGGACTTCCTTGAGGGTCGGGGACGACATCGGGGTGGTGTGGTGCATATTTTCCCCTCGTTTTCCAAGGGAAACAGCGAAACACGTCTACACCAGCATCCCGTATACACCAGGATCCGCTTCCCCGCGCAGGGCCAGCACGCGCGCCGGGTGTACAGAGCTCGGCTCCCGGGGAACAGATGATGGCATAGACCTCGACTTCGGAGGTCAGCGCCGGTGCCTCGGATCGGCGCCAGAGCCTCTTTGCCGCGCCTCCGGCGTCGCCGCGGAGCGCGCTCCGGCCGCGGGGTCCAGCGCGCCGATCCAGGAAGTCTGTGCGGCTCTCCGGAGGTCCCTGCTGACGCCGCTGCCGTTTCTCGAGAATCTGGACGCACGAAATGGGTACGGAGAGAAGGGGTACAGTGCCCAACAGCAGTTCCTGTTCATTTTGAGCAGCATTCGCTGTCCACGCCGCCGCGGCCTGTGTCCATTCGAGACAGAAGGCCACCTGCCCATCAGCGGCCGCTGTTGGTTCTGGACAGCATTGGTTGTTGGGCATAGTACCCATTCTTTCCGTACCCATTTCGGGCGTCCAAAGAGAAGGTACCGCCACCGCCACCCTTGTGGACGACGGTCAATGGAGAGGGAGCGTGCTGCTGAATCATGTCCAGATGTCTAACAGATAGTTTAAACATGTCTCGAACATGTCAAAATCATGGTGTGAACATCTTTCGAACATGTTTCAAGCATTTTGAACACATTCTTAATCCAATGATAGGAGTGTTAGGATGTCCGTTGCCATGGCATCCACAACGTTGTTGTTTCTCGCGAAGGCACCGCCACCGCCACCCTTGAGTCGGAGGCACCAGGATAACCAGCTACGTGAGCTGATTCTCACCCCCCCCCTTTTGCTATTCCCCCCTTTTGCCCGGCCCGAGAGTCGTTTTCGCCTTTCTGGGCCTCCTCGGAGGCTCTCGTCGGCACCCTCGAAGTTCGGGTCCGAGCGCTCCCCGGGAGAGCTTCGGGGAGCGGCGGCATCTGCACCCTCTGGCTGCCCGCAGTCCTCTGCGTCGGAGCTGTGTCGGCTTCGGCAGCGCTTCTCGGGTCGGGTCCGGGGGACCGCTGCTCGCAGGCGGCGCAGCCGTGCTGCAGCTCGCCCTTCCGCGGAGCGGAGGGCAGAGCAAGAGGAGCGGTGGTCGGAGACCCTGCGGGCCGCGCGGCGGGGTCTGCGCGGCATGCTCGGATCGGGGGAGCATGCGTGCACAGCAGGTTTCGGAGGTTCGCGCAGATCCCTCGGATCGGCGCTGACTGCCCCGACGTTGCCCCCGGCGCCGCTCCTGGCGCGTTCCGCGCCTCAGTGAGGGGCTCGGGCTAGGAGGTTGGCTTGTGCACTGCAGCGCAGCAGGCTTGGCACTGGTGGTCTAGATGTGGTATCGGAGTTCGTCATGCCGATCGCGTGCCACCCTTGGACAGAATGCGATGTCTTCAGCCTGGAGAGCATATGAATTCCCGTCTGAGATTGGGTTTCCCACACCGAGTATCATCGGATGCCGGGGGCGAGATCGAATAAAAATATCGGTATCTGATCTCCGCGCCTGATGCGGAGATAAATCGCAGCATCGTGCCATGAGTGGCAATGTGTGCCGTAGCCTGTCGGCTCAGTCGTGGCAGGAAGCATCGGCACAGTCGCGATTATTGTACTCCACTTCCTCCTGGATCCCTTTCCCTTAGGACCCTTTCTCTTCACGGTGATCCTCCGCTGTGAAGAAAAGTCGCCCCCCAGGCCTCTCTCCGGGCGTGCGACGCCAAGAGATCTGGACGACACCGTCGCCGTCGACGTCGCCGCCGTCGTCGTCATGGTCGTCGTCGTCGGCGCCGTGTTTGTCGGCGTCGTCGCTGTCGGCGTCGTCATCGTCGGTGTCGTGGCCGTCGTCGTCGGCGTCGCCGTCGTTTTCGTCGTCGTCGTCGTCGTCGTCGTCGTCGTCGTCGTCGTCGTCGTCGCCGTCATAGTCGGCGTTAACGTCGTTGACGTCGTCGTCGGCGTTGTCGTCGGCGTCGCCAGCTCTGGTCGTTCGAAGGCCAGCGCCGTCGGGGACGACTCCAACCGCAAGCGGCTGCTGGAGGAGGTCCCGGCGCCGCTCCTGGCGGGTTATGGGGAAGGGGTCGAAGGACAGACCAGCAAAAGCATAAGATTTCGGGGCTCCGCGCGGATTTCTTGGATCGGCGCTGAACCCCCCCGATCGCCAGGCTTTCGCCGTCTTTCGCCCTCGTCCCTTGCCTGTGTGTGTGTGCGTGTTTTTTTTTGTTTTGTGTGTGTGTGTGTGTGTGTCTCTCTCTCTCTCTCTCTCTCTCTCTCGGGGGCTTCCAGGACGGTGCGGTGACCGCACCGCATGGTGAGTCAGAGGGGATTCGGGGTGGCACGACGGTTTTGGAACCTGGGTCGCTCTCCGAGGAGGTTTCGAGTGACTTGGGCCTTCAAGGTCGCAAAACCGTGCGGTGACGGGCCGTGCGATGAGGTCTCCTGAAATTTCGAAGCCACCGCACGATCTGTCATCCCGCCGTCTTGGAATCCCAATCTCTCCTCCTCCATTTTCCCTGTCCTTCTCCCCCTCCTCCTCCTCCTCCTCCTCCTCCTCCTCCTCCTCCTCCTCCTCCTCCTCCTCCTCCTCCTCCTCCTCCTGTCCTCCCTCCTCCTCCCTCATCCTCCTCCTTCTCTCCTCCTCCCCTTCTCCTCCTCCTCCTCCTCCTCCTCCTCCTCCTCCTCCTCCTCCTCCTCCTTCTCCTCCTCCTCCTCTGCCTGGTCCTTCTCTTCCCCCGGCGGGCGAAGAGCGTATAACGCATGCGGTCGAGCTTCTTCGCCGTCGGAGGCGCCCTTTCCCGGGGCGATGGGGCTGTTGGCACGACTGCGGTGGCGCCCCAGGGCAGAAGATCCTGGCGCAAGGGTACCCTAATTTTAAGTCGGGCGTGTCCCCCCTACAGGGGGATTTTCGACGGAAAAAAAAATACCCCAAGAATAGTCAAACAATAGTCCAATTCGACGAAAAATAAAACATATCCCAAACATAGTCAAAACATAGTCCAAAAATAGTCTGGGGACTATGTTTGGAGTATGTTTTGACATTTTTGGGGTATTTTCGGGGTGTTTTTCATTTTTCGTAGAGAATCCCCCTGTAGGGGGACACGCCCCACTTAACCCTGATTCAAGGACGATGCCAGCACCAGAGGCTTGTAAGTAAGATCTAGCGTTTTATGCCCGCCGCTGCTCCACTTTCGCCTCCGCACGCCACGCATCGACGACGGCGCCCTCCAGTCAGAAAGCTTCCCTCGTCTCTTCACCCTCCTCGTCTCTTCTGCTTTCTCCCTGTCCTTCCCTCCTTCCGCAGATCCCTCTTTTCCTCACTTCCGCAGTCTACTGCATTAGATCGCCCGATACTCCATACTCATCCTCCAGTTCTCAGGTTTAGGGTCAGGGAGGCGCCACTCAGTCTCTGCCCTCCTCTTCCTCCCTTGTCTCAATCCTCCCTCTCTCACTTCTTCTCCTACCCCACCTGTCTACCTTGCGATGATTCTCGTGTGGACCCCACACCTTGAGCTTGGGCATTGGATGTGGCGCACCGCTGCAACCAGGGCACGGCAAAAAAAGCAAAGCAATCTTATATCAGATCACATAAAACAAAGCTAAGCAGGCAAATGTCCATTCAAGGCATTGCAAAGCACTGGACAACAAAGCACCCATGCTCCGCAACATGTTTGCCAGCGCGGAACCCACCCAGGGGGTTCTTGTCGCCTCGATGTTTTCTCTATTTGGTACAATCATATGCGCAGTATCTGGTCCAACCTAAGCGGTGCAAGCTATGTTGTGCAAGCGATGCGGTGCAAGTTTGGGGTGCATTATGTTATGTGCTGTTCAACCCATGCCGTGCAATTTACGTATATGACATCTAATTTCTTTAGAGCAGTATACGCGGTGCGCTAATGTAATGCGAGCTACATGTTCGAAAGCTCAGGGGTGCAATATATGTGGTGAAGCCGGTGGGGTGCAATCAACGTGGAGCAATTTGCTGAGTGCAAAGGAATACGGCGCGATTCCAATTAGAGAATTTCTTCTGCCATAGCAATTCGAAGCAGTTCTGAGCAACGCAAAGCACTGCAAAGCATTGCTTGGCATTGCCTGGCATTGATTGGCGTGGCTTGGCGTTACTTAGCATTGCTTGGCGTTGCTTGGCCTTGTTTGGCGTTGCTTGACACTGCGTGGTGTTGCTTGGCGTTGCTCGGCGTTGCTAGGCATTGTTTGGCATTGCTCGGCGTTGCTTGGCGTTACTTGGTATTGCTTATCCTTGTTTGGCGTTGCTCGGTGCGTCTTGGCATTGCCCGGCGTTGCTTGGTATTGCTCGGGACCGCTTGGCATTGCTTGGCATTGCTTGGCGTTGCTTGACGTTGCTTGGCATTGCTGGCCATTGCCTGGCACTGCTTGGCGTTGCTTGGCGTTGCTTGGCATTGTGCGGCCTTGTTGGGCGTTGCTTCGTGTTGCTCAGTATTGCCAGGCGTTGCGTGGTGCTGCTCGGGCTCGCTTGGCGTCGCCTGGCGCTGCTTGGCACTGCCTGGCACTGCCCCCCGCTGCACGGACCCCCCCCTGGCCTCCCTGGGCAGCCCCGAGGCACGCCCCGTGGGCACGCCGAGGGCAGCCGCTGACGAAGAGGGCCCCGCGGCCACCTTTGTTGTTGTTGTTGTTGTTGTTGTTGTTGTTGTTGTTGTTGTTGTTGTTGTTGTTGTTTTAATTCTTATTATCCTCTCCGCTGGCGAGTGAGAACCCCACGGGCGTAGCCTGATTGGGAACTTCTGGAGCGTACTCCGATCCCAGACCTGCTCGAGCCATGGGAAAATCACGACGGGAGGGTTGTTCGCTACTTTCGGCCTCTGGGGGACCTCACAGGGCCTCGGGGCCGTCAAAGAACGACTCAGGATGACAACCCAGTCCCAGGGAGTGGGTCCAGACCCGCGTCATGAAAAAGCCATAATGTCGGGGGTCTGCGTGGCATTTTTTTCATACTGGGCGTTTTCGGGCCCCGGGACCCTCACAGATCGATCGGGCTCGAGAAATGACACGGAAGGACGGGGTCGGGGGCTATGGTGCTGATTTTCTGCGATGTTGCAATTTGTTTGCGACGTCGGATCTCAGGGTAGCCCATGCGAGCTATGGAAGAAAACGGGGGTCGACTGCGGGGACATTCGCGCGTACTATCCGGCGCTGCCCGTGGCGCGCTCCGCGCGCCAGGGACGGGGGGTCCAGCGCCGATCCAAGAAGTCCGCGCGGATCGTCGAAAGTTAATGCTATGCATGTTTTCCCTCCCGCTAGAACGGTGCGGGGCAGATTGGTTAGTGCCAGCCGTGGGGTGCAACACGGGTGGTGCACACGCTCCCACTCCGCCCCCTCATTTCTCCCCCCCACTCACGCACCGACGCTCACCACTTACGCTCGCCTCACGCCGCACCCCCCCCCCCCGCCACCCGCCTCTCCCCACGCCTCCCTGCGCGCACCGCCCGCACCGCGCGGCGAGGGGGGGAGCGGAGGAGGCGAGGAGGCGGCCGCTGGGCGGCGCGAGGCGGTGGCGGCGGGCGGCGCGGCGGTGGGAGCGCGAGGCGGCGGTGGCGGGAGCGCGAGGAGGCGGCGACGGGAGGTGGCGGTGAGGCGAGCGTGAGCGGCGTGGCGGTGGGCGGGCGCGTGGCGTGGGAGCGCGGGCGCCGGTCCTCTCTCTCCGGGGGCGCCGCGCGCGCCTGCGCCGCGGGGGGGGGGGGGCCGCGCGCCCCGCAGGTGCCCGCCGCGGGGGGCTGCTACGTGGTGTGCCGCACCCAGGCGGCCGCTCGGCCAGGGCCCCTCCCTCCGCCCAGGAGGAGGAGGAGGAGGAGGATGAGGAGGAGGAGGAGGAGGAGGAGGAGGAGGGGGAGGAGGAGGAGGAGGAGGATTTTGTGTCACCAGCGCGGCACTGCCCACAGTCAAGCGGGCAACAAAGTGGAAGGCTCCACCTGTACGTGGGCGAACTAAGGGTTGCGTACCCTTCGAGATCTTGCTCCATGCTGTGGCGGCACAGTTAAACTTGCTTCCTTCTTGGGAGCAGTGTCTGTAGACTAATCCTTGACAAGATTGCTGAGCTGGTCTCCAGATGTATATGCCTTGCATCTGGAGCAAGCATATAACAACGTACCGTCGGTGCAAGAGAAGACCGTAAGCGAGTGCTTACGCTGCCCGATCTCGAGGGCGACAGCCGGCAACTCACCAGAACGATTGATGTTCGGAGGCTTCTGCTCACAAGGTCTGCCCTTTGAGCAGCGCCGACGCTTCCCAAAGGAACCGTACCAACGCCACTTGTTCAAAATGCCTGCTGAATGCGACGCCTGCTGACGGGGAGGAGGAGGGACTCGAGGGACGTTATCGAGATCCAGCCTTGGCGAATTCGGCCTGAGGCGGGCTGCAAGGGCACAGCCTTTGCGGGCAACATCGACTTGATCGTCTATTGCCCGCAGCTCGTTGGGCGATTCTCTGGGGTGACTCCACGCTCCCCGTTTAGCAGCGGCATCGGCCTCGTCATTCCCTTGCTGAGATCGTCGCTAAGCGACTCCGTCGTCCACGTCGTGAGCTTTCACCTTGTGAACATGAGAATATCTACTGCTGGACATCTTCATACGGGTTCCCGCGTAAAGCTTTTAATGGGAGATCTGCATGGGCACTGTGGAGTTAGACGTGAGCACAGCGTTGGCGCAATTCGGAAAACCTTCAACGAGGAGGAGGAGGAATAATAGGAAGGACCATGAGGGCGCGTTGTCAGGAGGATATCGCACGATCCATCGGCGTGGCGGAGGTCAGGATACAAGGTGGTCATTTTCAGGGCCCGCCGTGTGGGCGGACGGACCCGAATCCGCATGCTACATGCTACACGGGAGGACCATGGTAATGGCATTCCAGGGATTCGGCCATCACGTGGTGGCATCGAAAGAAAAACGACACACCCCCTGACCTTTAGGACGCCCAGGATGACGATGAGCACGCAGCGTGCGAAGCGGAGGAACAGCTTCAGGAACACTGCATGCAATCCCCTTTTGAAAAACAACATAGGCCTCCACTTGAATGCCACGCGTACCACGTGAGGCATCACTGTCCACCCTTTGGGTCATACTAGAGCTTTGGAATTACCTTACCCTTTTTGGATACGCAGTGTCACCTCATGTTCCTCGGCTTCTTTCCGCACGGGGTGTTGACCGCCAGAACGCGATGAAACACATTGACAGGCATGCACAATTAATCAATGACTGATAAGGCATTAACGCACCGCCTGTCGAGGTGAACCGCCGTACTTTCCCAGCAGTACCACCAAATTGAGCCCACACGGTACAAACGCATGCTTGCACCACCACTTCGAGCAATCCCCACGATTGCAGCTACCGGAAATTGACGCACGTCCAAACGATGGGTTGGTTGGCTTGGTTGGCCATTGCGGCCTGCGTTCCACCTATCCAACACGCCGCCTGGGACGGAGCCAGCTGAAGGCCCCATGAAATGTCCCACCAAGCAAGCAACACAAGCACATTGTGTAGATCTGGCGGGGAAGACTGGAACACAACAAGTGCAATCAAAAAGAGGGCAGTACGACGTACACACAATTTTCCCGATCACAACACGTGCTGAACATTGTATTTTAATTCGCCCATCCTAGCCATCCCACGCCAAGCTTCCCCGAGAAATGCGAATGGCATTATGCATGATTATTTGTCGCTTCGCTCATTCCGCCGGTCCATATTGCCTCGCCGCTGTCGTTTGTCGGGGTGTTGTTGTCAATGCGGTGCTGTTGGGCGGCTGCCATTTTTCGGAGGCGGTGGGTGGTGGGTCAGAGGCCTCATGGATGTTGGTTGGGCTCTCGTGGTTGGCCTCTCAGGGGCATTTGGGAGGCAGTTTTGAGGCCTTTTGGGGGCCGTATTGGGGCCTCTTGGGGCCTCTAGGGGCTTCTTGGGGTGCCTCTTGGGGGTCCCTTGGGGCCTCTCGGGGGCTTCTTGAAGGCTGGACTTTTCGGTTCCTGGTCCCCTTCTTGGGCCCCTCTTGGGGCCGTTTTGAGGCCCTCTTGGGCCGTCTTGGACCGTCTTGGGTGCCTCTTGGGCTGTTGGGCCGTCTTGGGGCCCTCTTGGAGGCCTCTTGGGCCGTGTTGGGGCGATCCTGGAAGCCTCTAGGGCTGTCCAGGGCTGTCTTGGAGCGCCGGTAAGCCCCCCAGGCGAGAAGGCCAGATAAGAACATTCAAACACTGCAGGAAAATCGCTAATTTCTGCCTCTGTGGGGCCCTCTTGGGAGGTCTGTTGGGGCCTCTTGGGGGTCCCCTGGGGCCTCTTGGGGGCCTCTTGGGGGCTTCTTGGGGGCCTCTGGGGGCCTCCAGGGCACCTCTCTGTGCCTAGAGCTCGACATGTCCGTTCGGGTCCCTCGTCTGGGCCCGCTCTTGGAGCCGCTTTGGGAGCCTCTTCGGCCATCTTGGAAGCCTCTGAGGCTGTCTTGGGGCCCTCTGGGGCCGTTTTTGGCGCTCTTGGAGGCCTCTTGGGCCGTGTTGGGGCGCTCCTGGAAGCCTCTTAGGCCATCTTGGAGCGCTGGTAGGACCCCCAAGGCGAAGCACTGCAGGAAATTCACTAATTTCTGCCTCTGTGGGCCCTCTTGGGAGGTCTCTTGGAGACCTCTTGGGGCGTCTTGAAGGCGCTTTGGGCTGTCTGGTGGCCCTCTTTAGCGTCTCGGATTGCTCTTGGGCCGTCTCGGGCCATGTTGAGCTCTCTTGGAGGCCACTTGAAGCGCTCCTGGAGCGCTCTTGTAAGCTTGCTGGGACCTGGCCGGGACCTGCCCGGGACCTGCCTGGGACCCTGCCCGACCTTGCCGGGACCTTGCCGGGACTTGCCGGGACCTTGCCGGGACCTTGCCGGGACCTTGCTGGGACTTGCCGGGACCTTGCCGAGGCACTTTTCGTCCAGGGACCCCCAGGGGCGGCCCCGGGCGCCCAGCGCGCGCGCGCGAACTAGAATATTGTTAACCAGTCACAGGAGATCTTACAACGCCTTTGGCCCGTTGAATCGGGGAATTTGGTGGGGCCCCCCAAGCGGTATGTGAAGGCAATTAGTTGGGCGCCCCATGGCTTGCTCGGGCCCGAAATCCCACCAGCCCTTTAAGGGCGTGAGTGGTTTAGATAGTCCTCTCGCTTCTCAACCCCCTTCTTCCCCTTCGGGGAGGGGTTTATCATTGTTCCCTATTAATAAACACCCCCTCCCCCAGGCGACTGGGGGCCAACCCAGGTCCATGACGACACCCCCTAAAAAAACAATACAAAACACACTCTGCCTCCCAATTCGGAACATGCGCAGCCAACCCGATGTGGCCCCCCCCCACCATCCCTGTCAAAAAACAATACAGAGTACACTTGGCGGCGGCGGCGGCGGCGGCGGCGGCTGCGGCGGCGGCGGCGGCGGCGGCGGCGGCGGCAGCTGCGGCGGCGGCGGCGGCGGCGGCGGTAGCGGTGGCGGCAGCGCCTGCGGCGGCGGTTTGGCAGCGGGGGCGGCGGCGGCGGCCGCGGCGGCGGCGGCGGGCGGCGGCGGCGGCGGCGGCGGCGGCCGGCGGCGCGCGGCGGCGGCGGGCAGCGCGGCGGCGGCGGCGGCGGCGGCGGCGGCGGCGGCGGGGCGGCGGCGGATGGCCCCACGTCCAAGACGACTGCTGAATATGCTGAGGCTCGGGCCAGATTCGGGTGCTACGTATGTGTTGGAGGGCGGGTGGGAGTGAGCGAGACGGCTTGCGGGCGGGGAGGGGGTCTTGACCCCTCCCCCTACCCCCTCCCCCTGGGCCTGAAGAGGGGGGCCGCGGGTCGCCGGGGCATCCTTTGTCGGTCCCTTGGGGGTTCATTTTTTGACACCCTCACAGGGATCGTGGCCCCAGGGGGGGGGGGGGGGGGGGGGGGGGGCAAATAAGTGTTTTCTTCTTTGGCCGATCTCCTCCAATGCGGCACCAAGAGCGCTCCCAAGGCCTCCAAAAGCGCTCCCAAGACGGTTCCGAGACGACCCAAGAGGGCCCCAAGACGGCCCAAGCGGCGGCCAGTACGGCCCAAGAGGGCCCCAAAACGGCCCCAAGAGCGCCCAAATGGCGCCCAAGAGCGGCCCAAGAGGGCCCCGAGCGGCTCCAAGACCGCCACAACACGGCTCCAAGTGGCCGCGGAGCCTCCCGAGGACGCCCCCGAGAAGCTAAGACGGCCCAAGGGGTCCCCAAGACGGTCCAAGAGAGCCCCGAGAGGCGCCCTAAGAGGGCCCCAAGAAGCCAAAACCATTGATCTTCCGTGGGCGTTTCAAATATTCTAGCGTTCCCGCCCTTTCGGCTTCCCGACGCTCCAAGACAGCCCAAAAGGCATGCAACACCGCCCCAAGACTGCCCAATAGGCTCCCAAGACGGCTCCAAGACGGCCCAAGAGGGCAACACGTGGGGTACGCGTGTGCGCACAGAAGAGGAGGAGGAGGAGGAGGAGGAGGAGGAGGAGGAGGAGGAGGAGGAGGAGGAGGAGGAGGAGGAGGAGGAGGAGGAGGAGGGGGATGAGGGGGGAAATGGGAGGGGGAGGAGGAATATGAGGAGGGGGAGGAGGAGGAAAAGGAGGAGGAGGAGGACAGGTGTAAATCCGAGACCCATCAACGGTGTTGGAATGCATCTTCCCCCCAAGCTTCCTCTACATAGGTCCCCACAAATATTCATTCCCACTAAAGGAAATACCTCGTTGGGGGACAAACGTGTACAAATGCTCAAGCGTACGAAAACCATTCTCAGGACTTCAACGCCACGGGTCAACCTGACTGTTGCGTCTTGATGATCGTGAGTCGTGCCATAACAATATTCTTCGGACTTCAACACCGCGAATCAACGTAACTCTTCGCCTGACAATCCAGATTCGTTCCAACAGAAAACAGCTCTGGTACGTTGACCGTCGGAATCCGTGAAACTCTTGCAAGTTTGTAAGCCGGTGTGCGCGGTGCTAAAAACGAGAGCCACATTTTGAAAAGGAACCGCCCTCAATCCATGGAGCTCTCGCAAATTTGGAAAACGAATGTATACGGCGCTAGGCGAGAGCCAAGCTTTGCAAATGTTCAAAACGAATGTGCACGGTGCAAAGGCGAACGCCACATCTTGAAAGCGACCTGTCCTCAATCCGTGGAGCTCTTGCACATATTGTAAAACGACTGTGCGCGGCGCTGCGGCGAGAGCCACATCTTGGAAACGACCCGCCCTCCTTGCTTGCGGCTCATAAGCGGTAAGGAGGTCTCAGGCAAACTGCCCCGCCCGCCCTTCCGACTAGCCTCAGGGTGCGACAGGGGGGGGGGTATTTATACGGAAACGGACTGGGGGAGGAGGAGGAGGAGGAGGAGGAGGAGGAGGAGGAGGAGGAGGAGGAGGTGGAGGAGGAGGAGGAGGAGGAGGAGGGAGGAGGGAGGGAGGAGGAGGAGGAGGAAGGAGGAGGAGGAGGAGGAGGAGGAGGAGGGGAGGAGGAGGAGGAGGCGGAGGAGGAGGAGGAGGAGGGGGAGGAGGAGAGGAGGAGGATGAGGAGGAGGAGGAGGAGGAGGAGGAGGAGGGAGGAGGAGGAGGAGGAGGAGGAGGAGGAGGAGGAGGAGGAGGAGAGGAGGAGGAGGAGGAGGAGGAGGAGGAGGAGGAGGAGGAGGAGGAGGAGGAGGAGCAGGAGGAGGAGGAGAAGGGCGCGGCGTGCCGAGGCGGCACAGCTCCCTGCCCCTCCCCGCGCGCCCCTCCCGGGAGGCGGCCACGAAGCGGCTCTTCGAGGCTTTCGGCGGCCCTGGCGCGCCACGTTTCCGCGCCGACCCCGCGCAGCCCGGGAGCGGCAGCCAGGTGCGCTGCAAGCCCGTCAGCGCCGAGCCCTGCTCCGTGCGGTGGCCGTCGCGGGGGCGGGGCGACGACAAGAGCGACGATTGACGACGACGCCGGCGACGACGAAAGCGGCAAAGCCGACCACGATGTCGTCCACTTGACGACGACGATGACGACGACGACGACGACAACGACGACGACGGGCCTCACGAGCGGCGAACATTCTAGGCCTCCCAGATGGGGCCCGAGTAGTTGGGGTCGATGGATCGCTCCGCATCGCCGATGCATCGACGATGCGGCTCGACGTGGAGCCAGAATCTCCGCACGCCGATGGCGCCGATGCATCGCCGACGTCGCCGATGCATCACCGACGTATCGCCGATGCATCGCCGATGCGTCGCCGATGCATTGTGAATGCGGCGCGATCCTCCGACCCCATCTACTCGGACCCCATCCAGGAGGCTTCTAAACATGTCCACGTCCACGACCTCGCGGCCGCGCCCCAGGGGCGGGGCCCGCGAGGCCGCGGAGATGGACCTGTCTCCCGCTCACGAGGGACGGCGGCGTGTGAGTCTGGCGAGTTCTGTGTCCAGGCTCGGGTGGACGGTAACGGGCGGGCAATGATCCGCGGGGGGGGGGATTGAGGCTTGCAGGAGGCTGGCCTTCACGGGGCCCCGAGCGAGTGGCCCCTGAGCTGTCACCGCGGGGAGCCAGGAGGTGCATCACGGGAGCGCGTTTCTCCCCCCCCTCGATCATTGCCCCCTCGCTGTCGAACACCCGACAATCACGGGCCCTCCGTGACGCTCGGCCGTGCAGCTCTCGCGCGGGAGACCGCCAGAGAGTGGCGGCCAGGTCACCAGAAGCAGCCGCTCACCGCCGAGAGGCCACCAGCTGCAGCGGAGGGCGGACGGGGAGCGGTGGGCCCATGGTGGAACGCGTAATGGTGAGTAAAGTCAGAGGAGGAAAGAGGTACCCATACCTCTACTCCCTCGCCCGTTTTCTTCTGCTGCCTCCTGGGAGGACCTCGTCGTCACCGCTGGATTCGCTTCGAAATCCTGGTCAGAGCGCACCCCGGGAGATGTCCAGGGGGTAGCGTTATCGGTACCTTTTGGTCTCCCCATCAACGGGGGTGCGGCGGGAGTCGGCGACGAGGAGGAGGAGAGGGAGGAGGACCAGAGTCATCCCCAGGCGCATCAGCGATGCTGCACTTTCCTTCCTCCGTTCCTCCAGGTCTTCCCCTCTGCACCACGAGGGGAGCGTCCCTCCGAAAGGCAAGGGCCGTGAGGTCCTGCCGTGCGTGCGGCGGGGCCCCGCCTCGAGAGGGAGCTGCCTCTTGCAGCTTCCGGCGAGCGACGGGGAGCGCGACGAGCTATGGCCGTGGAGTTCCACGGCGTGCCCGGCGAAGGTCCATTTGATCAGAGGGACCCGCTCCCCATCCGTTCAGTGTACAGTGGAGACCCATGCCAAGAAACACCCTGCTTGCCTCCAGGGTGCCCTGGGCGTCTTTTTTTTTTTTTGTTTTGTTCTGTGGAGAGCGTGGTGTTCCCACACCGAACATCCGTGGACGCCCTGGGGCCTCAGGGCTGGGTCTCTCGTGGAAGGCTTCCTGTGGGCTGGGCTCCACCGTGCCAGTCTGCGCTTCCGGCAGCTCGCTGGCAGGGCGCTCGGAGCGGGAGCCCCAGCTTGCGCGGGAGCCGCCCTTCCTCCGTGCCGCCGCGCGGCACCGGTTCGACGCTCCGGTCGTGGCTTCGCGGGCGCCTCGGGGCGAGGACCGCGCTCGGAGTCGGCTCGAAGGCAACCTTTTTGGTCTGCGGGTCTCAGGAGCGAAAGAAGGACGTACATGTACATGAATCCACGCTGGTTTCGAGAGTTTGCACTGCGCGAATGTTCGTATCGCGCGGCAGGTCTCGCGGGTCAAGGGGCCGTGTTCATGTACATAGCTGGGCGCGTACGTCCTTTGTGTGCTCCCTAGGGTCGAGAGCGAGCCTCTTCCGGTTGAGAGCTGCGCGGGCCGCGCGAAGCACTAATCGGGGAGACGGGGCGCGGGCGGGCGGGGCCTCAGGCGGCCGGAGGGCGCGGGGTGCACGCGGTGCTGAAGAGCTTGCGCAGGAAAAGGTACGCCATGGACAGGAGCCGGAGGCGACTCTCGAAGGCAAACACATCTTGTAGCATTTTCAGACAAACCTGCGCGGCCCTAGTGCGAGAGGGAACGCCCTCCGTCTGTGTAGCGGTTGCAAACTTCTAAGCCGAATGTTAGTGGCGCCAACGCGAGAGCCTTCCTTTGGAAGCCTGCCCCTCCATCATGGTGACTGCTTACAGCTCTTAAGACGAATGCACGCGGCGCCAAGGCGAGATCCGCATTTCGAAACAATTTTCCTCCATCTTTGAAGCCGTGGGAGTCGTTGAAGAAAAATGTGCGCCGTATTCGGGGGAGAGAACACTTGTGAACCACACCGTCCTGCATCTTTGATGCTGTGCGCAGCGCTACAGCGGGCCCATTCATTTGACAACTATATTTGCGCCATCCGCGTAAGTGTTGCACAATTTTCGAATGTGCGCGGCGCCAGGGCGAGAGCCCCATTATTAACACCACCCCTTCATCCTTGTAACTGCTGCAAGCTTTTTCAACATACATGTGCGCGGCGCTATGCGGGATCTCCATCAGTGTAACTGCTGCTAGCTGTTAAGACGAAAAGGTGTTGCGCGGAGGAGGAAGCAGATGTGGAGGACACGGCGAGGACCAGAGTAGGTCCAGGATGAGTGAGCGCTGTTGCAGCACACCCTCCCGTCTCAAACCCAGTGCGCATCCGTCCCTACACGTATTCCATGTCAGCCTGGACAACACACATCGTTGAAAGAAGAACGTCTCACGGATTTGCCGTGTAATTGGAAACCTATCATGGACATGAAGCCTCTATACCCGTGCAACTGTTGCACAGTTGGATCCAACGTGCCTATGGTGGACCCCCGTCGCCTACGGTTGGATTATATTTTCCACAGGCCGTTTTGGAAACCCTTGGAGCGAATAAGGGACAGGATGAAAGGAATGGGGGAGGAGGAGGAGAAGGAGGAAGAGGAGGAAGAGGAGGATGATGAGGAGGAGGAGGAAAAGGAGGAGTATGCGTGGTAGTAGTAGTAGTAGTAGTAGTAGTAGTAGTAGTAGTAGTAGTAGTGGTGGTAGTAGTAGTAGCAGTAGCAGTAGCAGTAGCAGTAGCAGTAGCAGTAGCAGTAGCAGTAGCAGTAGCAGTAGCAGTAGTAGTAGTAGTAGT